GTAACTGGGGCCAAATGAGGGCTGGGGCAGTCACAGCAGAGGGATGTGAGGGGGTCCAACCTGGTGTAAGAAGAGCACACTGAAGCCCCTCACCCTGTCCCACTCCCCAGGAGGATCCAAGGATCAGCAGCGCACTCCTGTGGAATCAGAGCCACCGAGCAGTAAGTGAAGGTCTCTCTTTTTGGAGGGAGGGTGGGAAAGTGTTAGTTCTGGCTGGTATCTGTGGTTTTCACAGACTGAGGGGCGCCCCACCACCACCACCACCAGGAAGCAGCTGTGGCATTAGGGAAACAAGGCTTAGCCCCTGTTTCAAATTTGATAGCCCCTGAGTTCAAATCCCAGCTCTGCCACCTCCTAGTGGGGCAAGTCACTGTCTGTAGACCAGACCCCACCATCTCCCTAGGGGCTGCTGTGGGATGTATGGGAATCACCACACTGAGAGGCTGGACCTCACCTGACACAGCGCTCAGTAAGAGGGTCCATCCTTCACCCTCCTCCACACACAGACCATGTCCAGAGAAGCCTCATGGGAGGGTTTCAGGGAACAGAGCCAGGCTAGGCTGGGAGTGGCTGGGGACTAGGATTTGGAGGGCAGGTTTCTCCTCTGGTGTCCCACCTTTGAGGGAAGGGAAGGTATGAGTAAAAAGCAAAGGGTCAGAGATGCTGCTGTCTACTCTTACCACTTCCTTGCTGGGTGACCTAGGGCACATGATTCACCTCATGATTTACGTCTCTGACCCTCAGAGAGGTAATTCATAAAACACGTGGAGTGGAGCCAAAATCCCACATTGCATAGTTGTTATGAGGGTCAGAGGTCATGAATGCAAAGGTCCCAGCTTGTTGCTATTAAGTGCAATCTAGTCGATTCTGCCTCATACCGGACTTATATCAGGTTTCCAAATGAGGCTGCAGTGTTTGAACTGCCAACCTTGTGGTTAGTCATCCACTGCTAATCACACAGCATCATATAACTGCTAAATAATTGGGCATCGTTATTTATTTAGACCTCATTCTTGCCCAAGGTTACCCAGAGTACCTGAACTTTCTGATCGGGGACTTGGTGGCACACAGCCTTCTCCTCCTCCTCTTCTTTCTCCTCTTCCTCGTCATCCGACACCAACGCCAGGGAAGACTGAGTAAGTGATGTCAGTAGGGGATGGAGTGGCCTGACCACGTGAGGTGGACGGTTTCCCCTAAACAGATCAAGGGTGAATCACAGCATCAACCAAGGAGCCCAAATAGATGAGAGATACTGTGTGGCCCTGACCACACATCACGGACCCTCTCTGGGCTTCAGGCTCCTTATTTAAGAGGAAGAGAGACAGGGTGAGACCTCAGAGAACTGTGCCAAGGAACAGCATCCCTTTGTTCTGATTCAACAAGATGCTGCCTGGAAATGCAAACAGCCTGAAGAGGACGTGGAGCTGGACAGTCAGGTGAGTCCCTCTGCTTGTGACAATGTCCCCACGACCTTCTTGTCTACAAACTCTACCCAGTGGACACGTGTCTACCCTTACGTTGGGGCAGATAGTTGGCCTCTGCTGACTTCAAGCACGCTCTTATTACGGCTTCTTTAGCCTCTTGTGCTTCTCTCTGCTGTATCTGTTGGTTTTCCCCTCTTGTAATCTTCGTATCACTGAGTGCTGACTGCCACATCCAAAGGTAGTCATTGTTTTGTGCACCTCATTTGCATTACCAGATTGTCTAATCTCTATTTGGGTCAAAAGCACCTTATTTACATGACCCCACCCAATTATTTACATACCACCCCCCCCCATACAACCATATCAGAAAGATGTTTCATTGTGCTTTACTGACTATGCAAAAGGCATCCAGCTGTGTGGATCATAACAAACTATGGATAGCATTGCAAAGAATGTGTATCACAGAACCAGCATTTCATTGTGCTCATGAGGAACCTGTACTTAGACCAAGAGGCGATTGTTGGAACAGAGCAAGAGGAGACTGAATGGCTTCTAATCAGGAAAAGTGTGTGCCAGGGTTGTATCCTTGCAACAATCTTATTCAATCTATATGCTGGGCAAGTAATCCGAGAAACTGGGTTATATGAAGAATGCAGCCTGAGAATTGGAGGAAGACTCATTAACAATCTAAGATAGGCAGACGACACAACCTTGCCTGCTGATAGCAAAGAGGACTTAAAATGCTTCTGCTAGCCACGTGGAGAGCAGCTCGCTGACCATTGCTCAAATGGCCATATGATAGTAATTCATTGTACTGCACAGAATAAATGTGTTCTTTTGCCTTTTTCAATTTTATGAAATGTTCAAAACATACATGCAATGTTTTTGAAGTTTATTTTCCTTTGTTGTTGTTCCTGTTTGGTGCCATCAAATCAGCACCGACTCATAGCGACCCTGTGCACAACAGAATGAAACACTGCCCAGTCCTGGGCCAGCTTCATGTTGCG